AGATTTGTAGCGCGCGCGCGCGATTTTCGCCGATGATCCATTTGACCCCGCGGCGTGGATTATCGTCGATGTTGTCTACCGCGTATTTCAGCGTCACCGGTACACACGCGAGCGGTAATGAACGCGGACGTGTGCAACGCGAGGAAGATTGATTTGACGGATATGACGACTTAGTAATGTGCCCGTGTCCGCGTTGGCCGTTTTATTAAAAGCCTGGCGCAGGTGCGAAACCACGACTTATCATCGAGCACGAAGGGGCTGCACATTAAGGGATAATATCATTTTAACGGTGCTTCCGCTTCCTACACGAGTAAAGGTGTACTCGCGTGGAAAAGATATTCTAAGTTGTAGACTATTTCATTGCGACTAGAATTGATGTAGAAAACAATGCAATGCAATTCGAAAAACAAAACTTTGATTGCAAAAACATTTAATTTAAAAAGCTTACAAAATTGCATACAACTGATTTTTAAATATATTGTATTTTATACGATTTCTATTTAATTAAATTTATTCAAAAGAGTCAGAAAAAATAGGAAATGAATTAAAAATCTTTTCGTCCCTTTTGAATATTATATGTATTACTTATAATGATACTTTTCTTGAAAATTGTTTTATTAAATACTTATTTGAAAGATAATCTGAGATAATGACATATCAAATATTTAGCAGACATGTCAAATTACACACGACAGCAAATTAGTATAGCTAGATTAATATTACATCTCATAAATCAAGTTGCTTTAAAGTGGATAAGACAGAGTAGATTAAGATACGATATTTAACAGATAGATCTGATTGCGTAACATATTTTTATTTATGTCATATATTTAAGATAAAATTAGAGTGAAACAAAGAAAAATTTTACTTTTTATTTATTGTGAAAAATATGTTTATTTATGAAAAGATAATGAAAAGATAATGAAATTATTATATAATTAATAGACATGGATAATTAGACATGGTGATTTTCTCAATAACACCGACAAAATTCATGCCTCTTATCTCCCTTAACATAATCATGAAAATAAAAGATGTAAATTGTGCAGATATATAAATTGGCCGACAGTTTACAATAGTAGCCAGTTGCATTTTTCCAAACGTAAAAATGGAAAAAAAAAAAAAATGTAATTTTGTTGCACCCCGAAGAAAAATCTCGGGTAAGGATCAGTGCCGGTCGAAAAGCGAACTCGCGAGCGTTCTCGTTTTTCGCAAAGCGCGAAGGAAAAATCCATTTTGCGAGCGAACCGTTTGTCATCGGAACCGCTGATGCGCCGGAAGCAGTCGCGGAATTAGCTTTGCAATGCACTCGCGAACGCACTATTGCATTCCGGTCATAGTGGGCGAGGCGTGCGGCCGCGATACACTACTACGAAATTCGGCGAATGCACGCACGAGGAGCGGGAAGAATAGCGGCGGTCGATGGATGGTTCCGACGATGGACCGCGATCCCGCAGATTCCCGGTGCCATAAACCGTTGTCCCTCAAAACCGAGCGTGTCGTTCCGCAGCGTTTTACCGTCGCGCCGGAAAGGTCGCGCGCGCGTGCGAAAACTAGCTTCGTTTCGCGAAACTAGTTTTGCATGGAAGTCTGTCGTGTGACGAATGCATATTGT